GGCCAGGATCCAGTAACAAATCTATTTACCATAAAGGCCATGATCCAGTAACAAATCTATTTACCATTAAGGCCAGGATCCAGTAACAAATCTATTTAACATTAAGGCCAGGATCCAGTAACAAATCTATTTACCATGAAGGCCAGGATCCAGTAACAAATCTATTTACCATGAAGGCCAGGATCCAGTAACAAATCAATTTACCATGAAGGCCAGGATCCAGTAACAAATCAATTTACCATTAAGGCCAGGATCCAGTAACAAATCTATTTACCATTAAGGCCAGGATCCAGTAACACATGTATTAACCATTAAGGCCAGGATCCAGTAACACATGTATTAACCATTAAGGCCAGGATCCAGTAACAAATCAATTTACCATTAAGGCCAGGATCCAGTAACAAATCTATTTACCATGAAGGCCAGGATCCAGTAACAAATCTATTTACCATGAAGGCCAGGATCCAGTAACAAATCAATTTACCATGAAGGCCAGGATCCAGTAACAAATCTATTTACCATTAAGGCCAGGATCCAGTAACACATGTATTAACCATTAAGGCCAGGATCCAGTAACACATGTATTAACCATTAAGGCCAGGATCCAGTAACACATGTATTAACCATTAAGGCCAGGATCCAGTAACACATGTATTTACCATTAAGGCCAGGATCCAGTAACAAATGTATTTACCATTAAGGCCAGGATCCAGTAACCCAGTGCTTTCTCTCTTTGACTGCATCTCTTCAATCAAACCTTGGCTGAACAAGAACTTCCTGTTTTTAAATGACAGTAAAACAGAATGGATTTATTTGGGGACAAAGATGCAGCTGACCTGTGACATTTGAACATCAACTTCAGTGACGTGTGAATAACCTTGGGGTGACCTTTGATAAGGCTTTACACTTTGACAAACATCACCTCTGTTGTCTGGTCTAGATTTTTTTATTTACGCCTTTTAAAAAGGTCAAACCTTTTTGAACCGTTGTTGGAGAAGCTGTTCGTGCCTTCATCAGTTCTAGACTCGATTATTGTAAGTGTGTGTGTGTCGTGCACCTCAGTCTTCTCTGAGCTCCTCCAGCTGGGTCAAAACGCAGCAGCCGCTCCTGGACGGGACCACATCACACTGTTTGTCTTCCTGTCCGTTTTAGAACAGATTCAAACTTTTATCGTTTGTTTTAAAGCTCTGAATGACCTCGCTGCTCCTTCTAGAACAGAGTTGTTCAGCTCCAGGTCTCTGAGGTCCGACAGCTCCTGCTCTCTGTTCCAAGGACAGAATAAAAACTCTGGGGGGCCGTGGCTTTTCTGCAGCCGCACCTCGACTCTGGAATAAACTCCCACTTAATCTACGTCAGATTACTGAACTGGGCCATTTTAAATTGAAATTGAATACATTTTTATTCCAACAGGCTTTTAGTACTTAAATATGTGTTGACATTTCTGGTTCTCTTCGTGTTGTTTTGTGTTTTTTCTTGTTTTAACTTGTTCTCATGTAAATGACTGTTTTTGTTCAGCACTTTGGTCACATCACCGTGGTTGTGTAAAGAACTATAGAAATAAAGAAATGAACGAAAATGAAATGAACGAGGTTCGTTGCAGTTAACGAGTCTCTCTCGCGTGTGTGTGCAGTTGTTCCGCATCAATGAGGCCAACCAGTTAATGCAGTACGACCAGTGCCTGAGCAGAGGAGACAACTCAGGTGTCATCATCACACACTGCGAGCGCAACCAGAACACTGAGTGGAACTACTTCAAGGTGACCCCCACACACACACACACACACAGACACACACACCCAGCCCAGGGCTGTGCAGCGTGTGGCTCTGGTGCTACATGTGGCCGTTCAGCCTGAAGTTCTTCCTCCTCATTGGGTCAGAACCCACGTGAACATCAGGTGTGGTCAGTTTGGAAGTTCAGCTCTTTTCCTGCTTCAAGTTTCAAACTTGATGTGTAAACTGCACCAAGTCTGTCAGGAATAGTTATGTTTGTGTGCTTGATGAGCTGTGGCAGCCATCTTGAATCAGGCTAATCTGTTGTGCTCCCAGTCATGACGTGTTTTGCTAACAGTACAGATGAGGGTACAAACATTCTGCCTCAGCCCATGAGCAGCAATAAGAAGAAGAAGAATTAAAGTGAAAACGTGCTGAGCGCTTTAAAGATTCAGTGAAGCTGTTGTTTCTTGTCTCTTTCCAGGATCTTCATCGGTTCACCCACGTGCCCACAGGTAACAGCTGTTTTCATCCATGACATTATTGTGTGACTTTCAGAACATTCTGGTTTTGTTGTAATTCTCATGAGAAGACGGAAACATGCACGAGGAACCCCTGCATGTTCCTGGGGTTCAAACCATCTAATGAGTATATTATGGAAAGATGAACACAGACGTACAGCTAGCCCAACTTGATCTGAGCTTAGACATGAAAACAGCATTAGCCTTACTTATGTTTTCATATTTTATCTTTACACGTCCTGACTCTTATCATACGAAACCTTTGAACTATTATCTTTGAGTTGGGTTGTGTCTAAGAGAGAATGCACTAGGAGTCTGAAATATACTTTTAACCTCTTACTGCAATTAATCTTGAACCTGTAGAAAATCCATCCAACTTTCACAAACTCATTATTCTAGCTTAATTATTCCGATTGTGACATTTAGAATAGTTCTTGTAACTGTTCAAGTTTCAGTGTGTCTCGTCTGAGAATGTTCAATTTATTGAAAAGCTCTTTTATTCTCTTATTTTCAGCTAATTTTATGACCATTTTGTGCTTCTGTAATCATTTTCTATTCCCCAGTCAAGTTTAACTTTTTAAAGCTTTTCTGTCATCAATATTCTTCAAAAGCATCCAAACACTCTTAACCCTCTATTTATTGTCATCTTTCGTCTTCCATAATCCTCTAGTTTATCCTTTTATTTACTTTGTGCGTTTTCATCAAATCATTTCTCCAAACGCTCAGTTCATGAAGGGAAAGATGCTGTGAACTTTTGTTCTGGTAACTTCAGCTTTCTGGGAATGTTTTAACCTTTTCTGTCATTTTGTTCCTCAAAAGAAATGAATTTAGCTCTTTTACATTCTGCACATCTCTAATATCTCTGGATTTGTTTGCAACATTTTTTCAGCTCCTATCAGTCTAATTCTGCAGGTTTCAGCTTCCCTGCTATTATTTAGATGTTTCTTTGCTCATTTGAGCTCCTCCAGTTTGTTTCACGTTTATTCTGCACTCGTTTTTTCACCTTTTGTTTCAGACAGTTTCAGCAAAAGTGTGTTCTCTTGCTAAATGGTGACTGGACTGCAAACATATATCCTTTTTATCTTATCACGACACTCGAAACATTTGTAACACAATCCGTCCCTCATGCACCATTCCTACAGCATTCTACTGAATAATCAATGCTCTCATCACATTCATGCACCGAGGGGACGCACGTCAGGGACAACGAGGATGTATCTATCGATCAGTGGGTCTCCATTTCCATCCGTTTCATCCATCATTTCTTTATTCATTTTATTCTGATGATGTCACTCTGACTGATGGATTGTTCCCACATCAGTCCTTTCCTCTTTTTCACTTTCAACCCGTCAGTGTGAGTCCATGAATGAGACCTTCTTGTCCTGAGGAACAGATGTTTGTCCAGATGTTTTTTCTTCCCCCAGTTCTCATTTGGGCTTTGTTCAGCTCCGCACCGTGGCGGGCTTGTCCATTTGACTCTGACACTCATGTTGATCAGTTACCCTGCAGGTGACACTACACACAAGTCTGAACAAATACTCAATCCTTAGTTGAGTACACATAATTCCAGTTGATAACATAATCTCAGTTAAAACATACGGTAATCTCCCGGTAGTTTCTTTCAAGAAACAAAGAAAAACTAAAAAACCTAAATATTTAGTTTTGACTGGATCTCTGTTCGTGCATATGTCTAAACTTCAAGGGTCAAAGCTCCTGTGGAGAGGATCTGTTCTGCTCTTAATGCTCCACAAACTAGCTGTACTCAATCCTCACCTGCTGCGTGTGAAAACGTTTTACATGTCTCTTCCAGCAGAGCCCAGATCTGACCTTGTGCTCGTGACCCCTCAGTCTCTCTGTGCCCTGCTCGGCTGTTCTTGAAGCTTTGAACCTGTGACTCCGTCGTCTCTGCAGCAGGTGCTCAGTCACTTGAAGCCAGCAGGTTCACCAAGTGATGCTCTTCCTCCTCGTTTATTCAAAGAGGTTTTCCTTTGGTCCTTGCTCTTCTGAGCAGCAGTCTGTCCTCTGGTGTGGCCCCTGGAAATTTTCAACATGCAGCGGTTCAGCCTCTCATTAAGAAACCCACTCTGGACCCTCTGTTCTTGTTAACTACAGGCCAGTCTCCAAACTGCCATTTCTTTGAAAAATCTTGAAGGTGGTGTACGACCAACGATCAGTATATTTGAAAGAACAGAACATTCTCAAGGTTTTACAGTCTGGTTTTAAGTCTCTGCACAGAATCTGCTCTTTTGAAGGTTTTCAACAACATATTTTGAGAAACGGACTCTGGTGACTGTGTTGTCCTCCACCTTTTACATTTATTCAGTTCAGTTTATTTATAAAGCACCAAATCACACCAAGTTGTCTCAGGGACTTTACAGGAACATTCACATAATTAGTAAAGTTCTCTATCTAAGGAATCCAGCAGACAAGTTGAATCTTGGCTTCGTTGCAGTCTCCCATCCTGAGCAAGCACAGTGGAGACAGTGGAAAGAAAAACTCCCTTTAACAGGAAGAAACCTCCAGCAGAACCAGCTCAGGACAAGAGGCCATCTGCTTTGACCGGCTGGTTGAGAGGACAGGAAGGAGAGACAGACGAACACAGAATGGTAGGTCCAGGTATAGGTCCAGGTCCAGATATAGGTCTAGGTCCAGATATAGGTCCAGGTATAGGTCCAGGTCCAGGTATAGGTCCAGGTATAGGTCCAGATATAGGTCCAGGTATAGGTCCAGGTCCAGGTCCAGATATAGGTCCAGGTATAGGTCCAGGTCCAGATATAGGTCCAGGTCCAGATATAGGTCCAGGTCCAGATATAGGTCCAGGTGTATCTGAAAGACAAAAACATGTTAAGGATAGAAAAAATAATTACAAATACAAAACAGGTTGAGCAGAGTAAGTAAAGACAGTAGCAGAGTGAAAATTGTGGTCAGTTTGTCCTCCAGCAGTCTAAGCCTATAGCAGCAGAACTAAGGGACAGCTCAGGAAACCCAAGCCGACCCTAACTATAGGATTTATCAAAAAGGAAAGTCTTAATCCCAGTCTTAAACTAGACAATGTGTCAGCCTCACAGACAGAAACTGGAAGTTGGTTCCACAAGAGAGGAGCCTGAGAACTGAAAGATCTTCCTCTCATTCTGCTGCTGGAAACTCTAGGAACCACAAGTAAACCTGCAGTCTGAGAGTGAAATGCTCTGTTAGTAAAATATGGAACAATAAGAGCTGTAATATAAGATGGAGCTAGGTTGTTGAGAGCTTTGTAGGTTAGAAGTAAGATTTTGAATTCTATTCTGGATTTGACAGGGAGCCAATGGAGAGAAGCTAAAACTGGAGAGAGATGATCTCTCCCAGTAACTCCAGTTAAGACTCTGGCAGCAGCATTTTGGATCAACTGAAGACGTTTTAAAGAAGTATTTGGACACCCAGATAATAAACCATTGCAATAGTCCAGTCTAGACGTGACAAATGCATGGACCAGTTTTTCTGCATCATCTTTAGATCAGATGTTTCTAATGTTAGTGATATTACGCAGGTGGAAGAAGGAGGTTCTAGTAACGTTTTTAATGTGGGGGATAAAAGACATGTCCTGATCAAAAATAACACCAAGATTTTTAACATTAGAGCTGGAGGACAGATTAATGCATCTAAGGAGGGAGAAAGACTGAAACATTCATTCCTAAGGTGCTCAGGTCCAAAAACCAAAACCTCAGTCTTGTCTGTTCAACAGGAGAAAATTAAGGGTCATCCAGGTTTTTATGTCTTTAAGACATGCTTGTAGTCTAAGTAGCTGATTGGATTCATTGGGTTTAATGGACAAATATAATTGTGTGTCATCAGCATAACAATGAAAATTTATCCTATGCTGTTTAATAACTTTACCTAATGGAAGCATATATAAAGTAAAGAGTATTGGCCCAAGCACTGAACCTTGAGGAACTCCATGACTAACTTTGGTGTATGAAGAAGATTTATGGTTTACATTTACAAACTGGAATCTATCAGATAGATTTGATTTAAACCATTTTAGAGCTGTTCCTGTAATCCCAACATCATATTCAAGCCTCTGTAGTAAAATATTGTGATCAACTGTATCAAATGCAGCACTGAGGTCTAACAGGACCAGTAGAGACACAAGTCCATTGTCTGAGGCCATGAGAATATCATTAGTGACTTTCACCAGTGCAGATTCAGTGCTGTGGTGAGCTCTAAACCCTGACTGAAACTCTTCAGATTATTTCTTTGCAGATGATCAACTAACTGACCTGCAACTATTTTCTCTAGAATTTTTAAATGAAAGTTAGATTAGATATAGGTCTATAGTTGGCTAGGATTCCTGAATCAATGTCATACTTTTTAATTAAATGTTTAATTACAGCAATCTTAAAGCTGCTCCTCTCTTGTGTGGGGTTCCAAAGGGCTCAGTCTTAGTCCCCCTCCTGTTCACACTGTACCTACTCCCTCTCGGCTCCATTTTTTGAAAATATGGGATCTCCTTTCATTAAAAAACAAAAAAAGTCCTTGCTCAATAATCCAGGTATACAATCCAACATTTTTCAGTCAGGTCATCTGGACAGTTTCTTTTTTGCTGAAACGTTTCACCTTCCATCCAGAAGGCTTCATCAATCAAGGAAACACAAAACTGATTCTTCCCTAAACAGCTTACTCCAAAGTGGAACAAACCAGTTATGTTGATGCTAAGATGGTGTCTTTGGCACACCCCCTCCTCTTGTGCCGGCCCTCTTCCTCATCGACAGTCATGTCAAACTTGTTCAAAACCAAAAAAGTCCATGCTCAAAAATCCAGATCTCCTTTCATTGTTACACAGATGATCCACAGATATATGTCCCACTAAAGAAAAAGGACTGCAACTCTCTGGCCCCTCTGTCTTCATGTCTGGAGGACATCAAAGCCTGGATGGCTGTGAACTTCTTGAAGTTCAATGAGGGAAAGACTGAGGTGATGGTCTTTGGAAGCTCCACTGAGACTCCCAGTGCAGATGTTGGTTCCTTGGTCCAGCACATCAGGCCAGCTGTTACAAACCTGGGGGTCAAAGTGGATGCTGGACTAAAGTTAAAAAACTGTTAAATCTAGTTTGTTCATCTGAGGCAGCTGAAGTGAAGCTGATTCTTTCTCAGCAGCGTTTCAAACAGTAGTTCACGTCTTTGTGACTGGACGACTGTAACACTACAGGAACCAGTGACTCGTGTGTCAGAGGGTCCAGAACGCTGCTGCACAGCTTTTAACTGGCACATGAAGGTTTCACCACATCTCTCCTGTTTTATCCTCCCTGCACTGGCTCCCCGTACATTCCAGGATTCATTTTAAATTATTTTATTGCTTTTAAAGCTCTTAATGGACTGGCCCCGCCCTTTCTGTCTGAGCAGCTGCATCCATACACACCCTCTGGATCCCTCAGGTCATGTGACCGGCTGCTCCTCAGGTCATGTGACCGGCTGCTCCTGATGTCATGTGACCGGCTGCTCCTCAGGTCATGTGACCGGCTGCTCCTCAGGTCAAGTGACCGGCTG